CTCCCTTCACCAAAATGGCCATGCATAGCCTTTAGGACGCTTTCAGGGAGCTCCTGGGGGCTGGGGAGATCAGAAATGAGCAAAAAAATGGGCTATTTTTTGCTCAATTTTGCCCCGCCCCCAGGAGCACTCTATAAGCTTCCTAAAGGCTATTCATGTCCTTTTTTTTTTTTACACAAAATGGGCCGGTTTTCATGGAAAACGGCCTGTTTTTTGCTCATTTCCCCCCCTTCCCCTGAGCACTCTACAAGCCTAAGGGCTATTCATGCCCTAAACAGGCCGTTTTCACAAAAAAACGGGCCATTTTGGGGGGTTTGCATAGTGCAAAACCTTTTTTTTATTTGCCACTTCAAAACCTCGGTGCGTCTTATACTCCGAAAAATATGGTAATGCAAAAATTCAACAACAACAAAAAAAAAACACGAGAAACAGGTTCAAAATTTGCACAAGGGTTATATCCAAACTCCCCTCTGGTATAACTGAGGGCATAAATAAATCTTTGACCCTCCGCTCAATCCTAAAAACGTAAGGGTGAGATGGGCAAAATTAAACCTCTTCAGGGTTTGTGTCGAATTTGCCACAATTTAAGCCTCTAAATGGAAACAATCCATTTTTGAGAAAGGTATTATTTTTATAATTTTTATTGTTATTTTTAAATATACATAAGTATTGAATACATGGACAGTGTGTCATCTGCGTATCGTTAGTTTTGATACCAAATATTGAATAATTAAATGATGACGGACTATATGTAAGGTGGCGCAAATACCAATGTTAAAAACTTTTAATTGTAAAATTTATAAATGTTATAATGATGTGAGTATGATTACTGTAATTAATAATACCAATGCTATCACTACTATTTGGTATCAAAATTAACGATACCCAGAGAAAGGTGCTGTTAGAGATCAAATGTCGAATTAACACCATCCCAGCCTGGGATATCTGGTGATACTGTAGCTACTCACTCAGCCTGAATTAAATCTGAAAATTGACAATTAAATCCAACTTTTCACAAATTCCACTGGGACACTAGGATGACACGGCCGCCCAAATTGATGGACTGAGTCGAAACTGGGATAGCCTGGCAACAGGGGTGTGCCTTAAAGGTCTTGTCCAATCAAAGGCTCAGTCCAATCAAAGAGCGGATGAAGTCAACCCAGTCTGGATGCTACTTCCCCCACTATGGAGAACAAATGTTCTACGGTATTGCAAAGCCAGAACTGAGAATCGCCCGCCAAAATTTCCAAGTTCTACTTTTCCCTCCCTAAACTACCTCTCATTGCCCACCCCAATGTAACCAATCAGGTTCAGGCAAGTTTCATAACAATCAGTCCAAGCGCAGTTTATTAGGCGGTCCCTTCCTTCTTCCAGCTGGGTGACCTTGAGGCAGCATCTCAAGGAGATACAGCATTTACTTTAGATTTCCCCAAGCATTCCCGCCTTCATTCCCCCTCTCAACAGTCCACGGCAGTCTGCGTCACCATATAGCAGCGTAAGGTGGTAGATGACCGTTTGATGTGAACAATAGGATGCCGGAGATGACAGCAACAGCTCCGGAAGCGAAAATCAACGTCTCCAATGGAACTGTTCTTCTCCAAGGAACGATACACACCTATCCCAAGTCCAAAAGAAAAAGTGGTGTTTCCACCCCACCCAAAATGAAACGGTGATGTTCCTTGTGCACTCACCGGCGTTGATCTTTCCGGCCAAAGGTCTTCTCCTCAGAGTCCCACTCTTGTTGCAAAATGAACTTCAGCTCCTGGTCGGTGGTAAAGGTGGCCAAGGAAGCATTCACCTTCTGGCAGGTTTGTACAGCATCCCAGTAGTTCTCTCCGCTTAGGTACACCCTGTAGCAACTGGCAGTGCCCTCGTAGTGGTGCCACCCTGATGGGCATTTCCCTAGGAAACATGTAAGAGAGAAGGGAAAACAATTCCCCACCCAGTTAGGACCTCAACACACATACACAAAAAGCATGTTTTTACAGATACTCCCCCAGACCCAATTATAAGAAAGAAAATTTAACAATGTGCAGAAATGGATAGACTGTCTATGGAAATGAAGGAGAGGAAAGAAATCGAATACTATCAAATCTGGAACAGATGGTATTCCTGGCTTGTTAACGTAAAACCTAAGGTAAAAAACGGTAAAAAATATAATTATAGAGTGTATATTTAAATAAGGATATAACTTAGGACAGTGATATAGAAATTTTTTGTAAATAGGATTGATACGAAAGATATGGATACCGAGATGGAAAAGCTGTTATGTATAAATTTGTGTTTTGTCTTTTAAATTTTAGAAAATTCAATAAATACTATTAAAAAATAAAAAAAACATGTTTTTAGTCATTCCTAAAGAAATCAGGCCAGTGTTTCTCAAGTTTGGCAACTATAGGATGGGTGGACTTCAACTCCCCAGAATTGGCTGGCTAAGGAATTCTGGGAATTGAGGTCCACCCATCTTAAAATTGAAGTCCACCCATCTTAAAGCGGCCAAACTTGAAAAACATTAGCCTTACTTCAAATCTAGCAAAGAAGACATTTAGAGGGGGAAAAAAGCTTTTCTTGTATGCAATGCAAAAAGAATATTATTCTAAAACTGTCCATATTCAAAAAATGACCATACCGGAAAGGAAAAGCTCTAGATTTGAAATGCAAAACATGCAGACTCTATTCAGAATAATCACGGACAAGGCTGCCTGTCTTCTAGCAACTCCTAATCTTGTCTGGCAAATCAAAATCAACCTTTCATTTCTCGTGCACCCCATATTGCTGGTTTAAAAAGGCAAAGCTAAAAGTTCCCTTCACACATATGTGTTAGCCATTCCCAACTCTAGGGGGCGGTGCTCATCTCCGTTTCAAAGCCGAAGAACCAGCGCTGTCCAAAGACATCACCATGGTCATGTGGCCGGCATGACTCAATGCCAAAGGCACACGAAACACTGTTCCCTTCCCACCAAAGGTGGTTCCTATTTTTCTACTTAGATTTTTTACGTGCTTTCGAACTCCTAGGTTGGCAGAAGCTGGGACAAGCTCACTCTGTTACGCGGCACTAGGGATTCCAACTGCCTACTTTTCTGATTGACAAGCTCAGCGTCTTAGCCACGGAGCCAAACCAGCATTGCTGGTTTAATGGCAGGCAAGGCCCCCGCTGGATCACAATGTAGAGCCATCCAAAAGAGCTGCTGACACTCGGCAGAGTCCAGTATCGAACTGGATGGATGGATCAATGGTTTGATTCGGGAGAAACTATCTTTCCATGTGTCTCTTTGATTAAAATAAAAATAATAATGCCAGGGTTCTTTTTAAGCAACAACCCTCCCATCCAAATGGATTTCTTTTTTAAAAAAATAAATAAAAACCATTGGAGTCTCTACTCAGAATCTAGAGCAGCTTCTGCATCCCCGATTCTATAATCCTTTCCTTCTACATATATTTATTCTGTAATCAGATTGAGGCGGATGTTCTCGTTTGAAGACATTT